AATTTAGCCATTTTATATTACTATTTAGCAATAAGATCAAGTTTAAAATTCAGATTATGACATTATTGCAAGAATGGCAGAATTTTTCAATATAAAATTATAATCGTTAGTTATAACCTCGATTGGCACATAAATTTTTGCTTCGTAGTCATTTTAAATGATATGGACATCAGTAAATTCACAATAACTTATTGCGTTAACTCCCTTAATTTAAATTCAAATACCAGCTAACTTATATTATTTTTTACTTTTAGTTGAAGGATCGTTGAGATATGATTTTTTTGATTTATAAAATTTTATAGAAACTTTTTATTAACTTAAAAAGGTAGAAAAAATTTTTTACAATAAGAGATTCAAAGATTTTGGATATTAAAATACTTTATTAATTCAAAATTTATAAATCAGCTTTGTTTTCATTATAATAATTCCAATCATCATTATTATGATGAGAGTTTTTATGATAATTTTGAAGATCTTTATAGTTAAAACCTAGAATAAGACTGCTTAAAATTTATTTAAATTTCTATTAAAAATGAATAAGCTAGCGATTTACAATTTGCCTATGAACCTTTTTATTGAGCAATTTAACAGTATCGTAATATGCTCAATTATTAACCTTAGTGTAATCGAACTTAATTCATCACATCTGAGTGTAAACTTCTCATCTTTGCTCTCCTTATTATTTATGGTAAATATATTTAATTTATTGAATATATAGGCAGCTGTAGTCACAATCCCCATTCTTATTACAATTTTTATGCTGACTAGGTAAGAAGCTGAACTTTAAATTAATCCTTGGATATAAATTTTGATTTAAGATCTTAAAACTAATACTAAACTTGCTAGGTTATTTTACCCATTATTTTTTGCAAGAAGATTAGCTATGGTTATTAATATCTTTGCATTTGAGGATTGGTTTATTATCTAATGGCCAATTTTTATATATTTATCACTTTTGTAAATTGTATATTTGATAAGGGTGATGCCCTATATTAAAAAGAGTTCAAATTACTTATCAATATTTAATGAGTCCTATGTGCTCTTGTTTGGAACTATTATGATTTTCATGACTGATTACCTGCCTGATCCAAAATTGAAATATATGCTAGGATGGAATGTCTTAGCTTTAATTATCTTAGTATCTTTTATTAATATACTCTTTGCTATTAAAGAAAATAAATCTCTGATTAAGAAAGGCTTTTAAAAAATAAGAGCATTTTTTACTAATTTAAGAAAACATAAAATCATAGAGCAGACTTAAAGTGAAACCTATAATTAGATATTAAATGAATTAAGTAGATAAAATGATGAAGGAATGAAAAATGATAGTGGAATTGTTAGGATTAATCCTTTAAATGAGATTGACTCAATGCAACAAAAAGCTCTTAAAATAAAGAAAACGGTTTCAAAAATCTAATTTAAATCCAAGATAACTCCAGTTAATGATGTAATTTTAGAAGAAATGTCAGCAGAAGCAGAATCTAAATTTGAATTTACTGAGGTTGAAGAAGAAAAAATTGAAGATGCTGCTTTTGAATAAGTTGATTCATAAACAATTTTTTAGACTATAATAGACCAATAAAAGCAAAATGAAAATAATGATTTCAGTGAATTAATATTTAATAATGATGATGTTAATGCTTGAAATAGTAATTAGTTAATTATAATTACTCTTAAATTTGTATATTTCAATCCCATGGGGTTTTGGGGTTTTGGGG